TACAACTATGTGTTGGGGGCCGGACCTGAGGAACGGGCGGAATGGTATGACAACAAACAGAGTTTGGGTCTCGACTTTCCAAATGTAAGTCCATTAATAAAAACTTTCTTTTCATTGTCAACACAATTGTATTCTAATCGCTCGCTAATAATAGTAATACATTTACTTAACAAACATATCGATTGATATATCAAAACATACTTTTTAAGGCAAACAATACATACAAAATATAAACTTAAATTGGATTCATTGTAAACTTTTCAAACATTTCTGAATAAATTGACTAAAATACAGTAATAGTAAGAAAAATAAATAAAAATTTATTATAAAAGAACTTAAGATAAAATTAGACACCAATCACGCAAACGACTATTCATTTCGATATTAGACTTACAGAATATTCTTTATAAAAAAACTATTGAGTTTTCCAAACACTTTATATAATTTGCAAATAAAGCAAATAAACACAATTCAATTGAATCGCACAAACAGTTGCCGTATTATATCGACGGAGACGTGAAGTTGACCCAAAGCATGACAATAATGCGCTATCTGTCCAAAAAGCACGGGTTGGCCGGACATAACGAAAAGGAGAGGATCCGGATGGACATCCTCGAGGGACAGCTCAAGGACTTTAGGGGCGACTTTCTGGAGGCCACGTTATGACAATAATGCGCTATCTGTCCAAAAAGCACGGGTTGGCCGGACATAACGAAAAGGAGAGGATCCGGATGGACATCCTCGAGGGACAGCTCAAGGACTTTAGGGGCGACTTTCTGGAGGCCACGTTTGACCCGCACTTCGAAATGGCTAGAGTTGAGTACCTGAAGAATATGCCCAAAATGCTGAGCCAGTTGTCCGACTTCCTGGGAGAGTACCCGTACTTTGCGGGCAAGTCCATCAGTTACGTGGACTTCTTAGCCTACGAGCTCATCGATTTGCACTACTATTTGGAACCGGATGTGTTCGTCAACTTCCCGAATCTCAAGGAGTTCCTGACCCGCATCGAGGGTATGCCAACCATTCATAAGTACCAATACTCAGACAATTACATACGTTGGCCCTCCGGACTGGTGGTGCGGTGGTATAAAAGTAAATATTACAGCACTTTCAATAAATATATCAAAAATTAGTGGTGACTGACTGTCCAATCGCTATCTCAATACTTCCATTCAATTTGTATACAATGAGTGACAAAAAAGGAAACAATTTTCTTATAAGATTCTCTCTTTTTATATAACAAATACTATTTTTCTGATTATATTTTTTTGGTACAACTTTTATCAAAGTTTTTTCTGTTTGTTATCAATTGATTAAAAAAAATTGACCCAAAAAACGCTTACTTCTACACCAAAAATTTGCTTAATGTTTATAAAGTTATAAAGAATCTATTGATTTGTAAATAAAACAGAAAACTGTTTTTGAAATCAAAAAAAAATTGGCTTTAATTTTGACACATTCTTAGTATTGGTTTGAAATGAGAATAAGTTGTTATAAATTGCTACATAAGAATGCATTACATTTCACATGTGTGTCAATAGCGGATACCCGGAATTGTGAGTCAGAATATTCTGGGTATGAGTTAAGTGGGAAAAGTTGTTGCCGTGACGATAAAAGTATGTGCAGGCTAATCTTAAACGTAAAATCTAGCAAATTATTACCGGAATGTGTGTAACATAGTAGTACAATATATCGGTAATACTCAACCATAACTGAAATATGATTAAAAACCGGTAAGTTTTCCAACAAACCTGAATAACCAGACAATTCTGGTGTGAATGTAGTGACGAATGAGAAATGCATTGATTTGCACATTCAGTACCCATTGACTGAAGTGTTGAACGCATTTGTTTGTGACATACAGTGAGTGAGTATAGGACTGGTAGCCAACAGATGTCAGCCTATGGTTGGTGTGCTATCCGTAGGGGGAGTACAGTATAGGATAGGGGGGAACGGGTGGTGCGAAATGTTCGGTGCAATGCTCTGTGCTGTGAGTGAGTGAAACACCTGAACAGTGGTGGCACTGGCAGTGGCACTGAAGGGAAAGGCATTTGAAAGGCAGTGCCACACAAAAAGGCGTTCAATTGTGTCGCCATTTTTGCATTCATTCAATCCATACGTTTAGGGCACACATGCGAGCGCTGTTCGCGTATATATTACGGCCTTTTCTATACGCAATTGGCTTTGTGTGAGTGAATGGGTCTCCCATCGTATCATATGAACGCATATATCATACACTTGTATAGAGTTGTGTCCACACATACAGACACACAGACAGAGCACTCGTTGTCAGCGATTGAAGATATTATCACACTATTTGATACCCGATTGCATCGAGTGGTGGAAGTGTGTCGAAGACAACTCGTGGCCACAACTGGTGCCGACATCAAAGACATTCAAACCATACATTCATTTCATGAGTGTTTGGTTGTGGGCCTCAACAGCGCTATCAGACACTCATCTCTCAAACCCATAGTCCACTCATTACTCGCTTTTTTCGTGTCTTTTGTATATTAATTGTATTATTAATTGAGTGGAGATTTGTATCATTAGTTAAAACGTGTTTTTGGTCTCATTTTTATATCGAAAAGCCATACAATCGGAGCCGAGGTTTGCATTCATTTTCCATATACTGTGCACTGTTTTCAGTGTTCAAAGGCTTTTGTATCGCAAATATGCGTTCATTCAGTCATTCATTGCATTCATTTATATCGAAAAGCCATACAATCGGAGCCGAGGTTTGCATTCATTTTCCATATACTGTGCACTGTTTTCAGTGTTCAAAGGCTTTTGTATCGCAAATATGCGTTCATTCAGTCATTCATTGCATTCTCAACATAAAGAGTCAAAACGTTTGAAACGCTTTTTGTTTCAATTTATTCAATGTATTACTCAATGAATCACTAGTTTCTTGCTTTCAGTGTCTTGTCTTTCGCTGAGATTTTGACTTTTTTGTTGATATCTTTAAAAAGCATTTCAATTGCTGTCAAATACCTATTGAACGCATTGTGTGATTTCGGTATTTGTTAGCAATTAATGGTGCGTTTAATGCTCGTATTAATTGCATTAAAGCCGGCAATAATGAATGCATTACTCAATACATGTGTTCATAGATATATATTAAGTGGAAAAATGCCTTTTTGTGTCATTCAGTCAAATCTTATGACAAAAACGTGTCATTCATTTGATTAATCATTATTTGTCTCATAACTCATACATAGCTGTCATTTGTGTCTAATTAGGGAGCGTTTGGTTCCTTTGGTCTAAAGTCTAGTAATACTCAATGACTTCTTGTGGTCATAATGTCCGCAGTTTCGGGGCTAACGTCCAAAGGGGAGAACAAATCAAAACAGAAGTACCAGTCATTGAATATCAATAATCTATATAAAGGCAAAAGTCTTGAAACCACTAAGACATCAGGTAATGGGTATTGATTGTCTCATTTGATGTCATGTACTAACGTGTGCGCCATTGTCTCTCTGTATGTATGGATCAGTTGCTCCCAAACATGGTTTGCAAACGTTGGGTAAAGTGGGCGCCGGTCGGCGAATGCCACCCCCGGCTAATCTGCCATCACTGAAGAGCCAAACCACTACCACTCCGAACATCACATTAGTTCCTACTGGAGGTCAAGGATGGGGTTCTGGGAAAGAAGAGGACAGGTATGTCACGTGCAGTGCCTTATGACTAGTGAGTGTGTCTAATGATGCGATGTATGGGTGCTATAGTGGAGCGACGCCTCCTTTGCAAACTTCATCCTCTGGTGTCGACGCGACGCCATTGAGTGCACAAAAGCCGAGCGCCGGGCCGTTGAATCCGTTGACGACGTCATCGACCGCTACAACCGATACAAGTGTTGGAGCCATTGCTTTAGGCTTAACGTCAGCCGCATTGACAGCTCAATCAAAGACATGGAGCACCGTTACGGCCACCGCAGAGCACCCGGAAAGTGGTCCCGACAAGAGCTACTTAGCCCAACAGTCGCCGTTTTTTCCTCAGGAATTCCCAATTGTGTTGACAATGAAAAGAAAGTTTTTATTAATGGACTTACATTTGGAAAGTCGAGACCCAAACTCTGTTTGTTGTCATACCATTCCGCCCGTTCCTCAGGTCCGGCCCCCAACACATAGTTGTATCGCTTGTCTTTGTATTCGGTCTCAGTGTAGGCCAACAGCAGGCGAATGGGTTGTCCCAACTATCGGTGCCAATAATATTTAATTAATTGCTAATTGTATTCATTAAATGTTTTGTAAATAGTATTATAATGTTTTTGAGTCATCAAGTCTATGAATGAAACTAAAAGATTGGAAAATAAGATAATTTGCGCAAAGTTTCTAGCACTTAATGAATGAGCTTGATACATTTGCCACTTCTACAGTACAATAATCTATTCGATATATTTAACCAAAACAGTCAACAGTTGTCTCTCTATGAGCTCTAAATTATCAGAAAGCGATTCCAAACATATCCTTGAAATCATAGAAATATTATATTTTGAGTAATAATTTGTTCTCTTTTTATATCAAAAGTAATATATTTTTGCAATTTTTTATTCGTGACAATCATATGCTAACATTATTCTCAATGCATTTCTTTATACTGTATGCAGTCATTTTATACTGTAGTCTATATATTAAATACGGTTTAACTCTAAAGTTTTTATTAGATTTTTCACTTCTATATACTGATAAATATCAAAGTTTTATGTGACGTGAATAGCATATTCCTATCAATTTTAATACTTGAATAGTTGGATACAAAATAAGTTCAGGTGTGCCTACAAAGTAAATCCCAGTATAAAGGATGGCCTCACTATTAATTTGGCACAAAAACATAGGATTTGTTGAAAAACAATTTTTTTGCTCAAATATGAAGTCACAGGATACAAAGAGAGAAAAAAAGTCAATTCCTTTACACATAAAGATTTCTTTTACAAAACTATTGAAAGTTAGAAACTTATGCAAAATTGCAATGTAATCTACTTTAGTGACACACTAGTAGACAATGATTATCAGGATTTGAATGCAATTTTTCTAATCACTAAAAAATAGAGTATATATTAGGGAGAAGCGAGAGATAAGGGTCTAATACTGTGCTATACATTGAATAAAAGTTAAAATATAGAGAATCGAGAACAATATCCGAGGAAATTATTCAAACATTTGAAACACAAATTTGTTTTTTATTGAATTGATAGTGTAATACATTTTCGGTGAGCACTTATACATAATGACAAACATATTGGTAATATAATGGACACAAAAACATTTGAATCGAAAATAATAACTGAAAAATTGAATGATTGAGAGGAGAGATAGGTATGGGATATACAGAAAGACTTACTCCACGTATATTCCAATAGCCAAAGACAGGCAAATCTGATGCCATATTCTCGCAGCAAAAGGCAGTCAATTGTATGGATATATGAATCGGAAACCAAACTGATTATCACTGATCGGAACCCAAGTCCTAATAAACAGTTTATCACAATTGAGTCCCTATTAAAACCACATCCAATTGAAGGCCAAACCAACTGTTAGTAACCAAAGTGTTTGTCATCAAGTCTTGCGCTCTCTCTGCCTCTCCCGTCGTCTCCCTATCCCTCTCTCCCTCTATCTCTCCCTCTCTATGCAAACTCTCTCAGAGAGAGTCTCTCTCTCATGAAAATTCACATAAACTTCTCACGTGTTTATCGTTTCATACATTCATTCAAATGTTTACAAACCTTTTAAACAAGTCATGCATTTCTGTGTTTACTATAATTGTGCGATAATTAAGTGATTTATTTTTAATTTACTTTTTATATGTTACGATCATATAATAGACAAACACCTCATTCACACAAATGTCACAATTAGTTAAATATTATAAAAATTTATTAAGACTTTCATACAATTACAACAACTTTCAAAGTTGTCGTCAATTTAGGATCCAATCATGTCTTCTAAACAGTGATAAAAGCGATGACACGAAGAATGAGACCATTAGTAGAAGTGGTGACAATAAGATCGAAACCATTGATAACAACAAATCAATTGAACCGAAAAGTGATGACATATCCGGTGTCGAGTCTGCGGCCAAAGAGGAGGTCGAGATGGATGAGTACAAGTGGGGGCCCAACGAGGGTGTGTATGATCCGGCTACTGATGAAAACTTCACGCACGACCTCTTGGGCTACAAATACCCACAATTCTTCACCCGAAGAACCAAACAAATGGGGATCAAGAGAGCCATTCGTATCATCAAAGATGACTTAAGTCTTCTAAAAGAGGGCCGAATCCATAGACCGCCGTACGAACAGCCGTTCCCTCATCAGGTGGACATTGCCATCTTCGGCGGCGGTATCATTGGCTCCAGTATTGCATATTTCCTCAAACAAAGAGCACCACAGAGTTTCTCCTGTGCTGTCATCGAAAGAGACCCAACAGTCAGTTCTCTCTCTCTCTCTCTCTCTCTCTTCTGACTTTAGTGTTAATTATAATCAATGGTTAACTGATTGACTATTTAGTACACGAGAGCGTCGACCACCCAATCGATTGGAGGCATACGACAGCAGTTCTCAATGAAGGAGAATATACTGATGTCTATGTATGGCATCGACTTCTTAAGGGATGTGAAGAAGCACTTAAGTGTTTTGGATAACGAACCGCCAGATCTCTGTTTCCATCCGCACGGGTATCTCGTGTTGGCAAAGGCTGACGGCGCTCAGCAATTGGTCGAAAACCACAAATTGCAGACAGATTTGGGCGCTTACGTAGAGCTCTATACACCAGACAAACTCAAACAGAAGTTCCCGTGGATTAACACCGAAGACATCGTCATCGGCTCGTATGGCGTGCAGAACGAGGGATGGTTTGATCCGTGGGCTCTACTCCTGGCCATGAAGACCAAAGCGCAGACACTGGGCGTGGAGTACCTACAGGCAGACATTCTCGACTTCAATCTCAACTCAGAGACAAACACCGGTTCTTATGACGAGACGGGAAACGCTCACCAGAGAGTCAATCACGTCATTGTCAGACAACCCGATGGTTATGTCAAGCAAATAGAGTTCGCCATCGGAATCGTCTGTTGCGGCGCTAACTCGGGATTCATTGCAGAGAAGTTAGAGTACGGCAAGAAGGGTGGCATCCGATCACACCTACTCCCAGTTGAGCCCCGGTATGACACCCATTATTAGCTGTCAATTGTGATTATAACTATTGATAAAATTATTTTGTGCGCCTTTTATAACAGTAAACGGTATGTATATGTAGTCAACGCAGGGCTGCCGGGTCCTTAGCTGAAGGGTGACGATTAGCTGGGGAGCCCCCAGATGACAGCGTCTCTCCCAAATCCTCCCTTAAAGTAAACACCGGCGTCAGGGTTGGTTCATTTGTTTGGTAAGTAACCCAGTATTATAAAAACACATATTTATAAGTTTTCATCTCTGGATTGATGCACAGAATGAAGAGCCCGATGTCAGCAATTTAGACGTCGACTACTCGTACTTCGACTCTAAAGTATTCCCGCAATTGTCTCATAGAGTGCCCTCATTTGAATCGGCAAAACTGAAGGGCGCGTGGAGTGGGTATTACGAGTACAACACTTTCGATCAGTTGCCTATCATTGGCCGCGATTACTATTACGGTAACATGGCGTGGGCCACGGGCTTCAGTGGACAGGGCATACAAATGGCGCCGGCAGTGGGCCGAGCCATGAATGAACTCATATTCGACGGCGACTATCAGACAATAGATTTGAGTCGCTTCTCGTGGGAGCGCTTAATGCATAAGAAGCCGTTAA